GCTGCACAGGTAATCGCAAGCCAAATGCTCATCATGGAGAAGCAGACAAAGGAGATTGGCCAAGAAATGTGTGAGATCCGTGAGGAAGTTAACGAGTTCAAGAAAGAACAGAGACACTGGAGAGATGACACTCAGTGCAGGCTTACAAGTGTGGAGCAGAGCGTGCAGTATGCAGAAGTGAGTTGGTTTAACCTGAAAGAAGAAGTGAAGCAAGAAATTCGCGCACTTCAAGCAGCGGGAGAAGAGATGAAAGAAGAAATTAAGGAAGCTAAAGAAGAAATGAAGGAAGAAACACGTAGGGATCTGGAGAACGCGAAAATATCAGCAATGGAACTACGAGAAAAGTCAATATCGAGTGAGACCGAACGAAGCCAGGGTGACGACGCCTGATTTGACGCTCGTGCAGCCGCGTGGGCTCGGACTCCCCTCATGCCTCCCCACCGGCTTCCCCACGGTCAGGCATTAGCAAGACAAGAAGGAAACCGCAAGATTTTGATGGTCGAATGTCGCTGGAGGCTTATCTAGCACAGTTCGAGGTATTGGCAGTGGCACAAGACTGGAATGAACCGGAAATGGCAGTGCAGTTGGTAACAAGACTCAGGGGGCAAGCTATAGAGATTCTAGGCCATCAAACACCATCGCAGCTGGCGTCATACTCTTCTGTCAAGGCGGCATTGGAGCGCAGGTATGGACACCAGCACCAGGCAGAAGCATTCCGAGCCAGGTTTAGGGCCAGAATGAGGAGATGAGGAGAAACGCTTCAACAACTGGCTCAGAAGTTGGAGTCACTTGTGCGTCGTGTTTACCCTGGGACGAATGAAAATCTGGTCTCTATTCTGCTGTGGGATCAATTTGTGGACACTTTGCAGGATCAACCACTGCAAGTTTACGCAAAGCAGGCCCATACCACAGACCTACAGGAGGCGTTGGCACGTGCACTAGAGTATGAGTCGTTTAGGATGAGCGGCAACAGTGGTGGAGTGCAGGTGTACCCAGGAGACCAGCAAGCTTTTAGAGCCAGGCATGCACAAGTGAGGAGGCGTTCGAACAGTCCCAGGACGAAATTCGAGGAAAAATGTTGGAGATGCAGTCAACAAGGTCACCAGAAGCAATACTACACCAAGGCCAAGACTCAGTCAACCGAGGATGTGGCTACTGGGTACCGTTACCAGCCCTGCTGCTGGAGTTGCGGTGAACAAGGCCATCTTTGGCACAAGTGCCCGAAGCAATCTGCGGGAAACGACGGGAGGCTGGAGGAAGGGGCACGCCAGCCGATGAGTGTCAGGCCCCGGTCCATTTAATTTGTTGTAGAGCTTGGACATCAGCAGGTAAAGCACAGGTCGAGGGTACGGTTAATGGCAAGCCATGCTGTCTTACAATAAACACCGGCGCAGACAGGACCGTCATCAACGTAGCTACCGTAAAACAAGGCCTTCCTCTTGCTTCACATTGGATCTGTGGAGTCAACGGGCACTGTGCGCAACTGAGGGGACCCATGGAGGTGGTGGTAGGGGTTGGTGGCGCCGAGCATATGTGGCAGACATATATGATTTGCGACAATATGTATGTGTGTATGTTTGTATGTATATATATATATATATACATATATATATATACATTATGCATATTCATATATGTATATATATATATGTATATATGTATATATATATATATATATTATATATGTATATATATATACATATATATTATATATATATATATATATATATATATATATATATATATATATATATACATATATACACACACACACACACACACCACACACACACACACACACACACATATTATATATATATATATATATATATATATATATATATATATATATATATATATATATATATATATATAATACACACACACACATACACACACACACACACACACACACACACACACACACACACACACACATATATATATATATATATATATATATATATACATATATATATACACACACACAAACAAATACATACATATATACACATATGCATATACACGCTGAGTTGGATCAATTTCACTTGGATTTTACATTTACAATAGATATTAAAATAAACAACCAGTCCATCTCAACTTGCCAAGTTCAGAAAGACTTTAGTAAGGTTTTCTTAGACCAGGACAAATTTGTTAAGTGAACCCCTTCATTTAGGGGGGCAGCTTACAGCCATCCCTTCTTTTCGGGAGGTCAATTCATAAAAAAGCCCGTGAAAAGGGGGTGAAAGCCCACCTTGTTTCCTTCTTTTAGGTGTATTTCAGAGATTCTGGAACAAGCATATGTGTACAGCTGCCCCTCTGAGTGGGGGGCCGGGCAACACGCGCATGATTCATGACTATATTACCGCGTCCCAAACATAAACACATGCCTTTAATTTGTAATTTACATCTACTTAGTTTCTGACATAAGGAACGCGCGCAAGACAAACAGACTGTAGACTGTAGGGCCTTTTGCCGGCAAAAGCTAGCAAAATTTCATTATATGTACTCTGGTAGGACAAAACCTTCTTATGGACCCCCTGGTGGTGTCTGAAAAAAGGAACCAGTCTAATTCATTTCTTGCTAAAGTGCATATCATGACGGTTTGTTTACCCTTCTGTAGCGGGAAGCGTAGAATCCGCTTGACTTGCGCTCCAAACTTGTTGAACTAGCAAATTGTAGGCCTATTACTTGATCACAACATTAAAAGGGATTTGGATAGAACGCATCTAGTATAATCGCGAGAAAGGTTACGTTTGCGACATTTACTACGGTTGTCTTCTAAAAATTTACCTAGAATATCTTATACATTGCTTTTAAACAAATTTCTCAAGATATTTCCCAAATGAGATACCACCCTCCCATCTGCCTCCACATACCCGGCCCTGCCCACGGTGTTGCCAAGTATGAATAATAATTTGTTTACTAGGCTATTATTTCCCTCTGAGTGGGGGGCCGGGCAACACGCGCATGATTCATGACTATATTACCGCGTCCCAAACATAAACACATGCCTTTAATTTGTAATTTACATCTACTTAGTTTCTGACATAAGGAACGCGCGCAAGACAAACAGACTGTAGACTGTAGGGCCTTTTGCCGGCAAAAGCTAGCAAAATTTCATTATATGTACTCTGGTAGGACAAAACCTTCTTATGGACCCCCTGGTGGTGTCTGAAAAAAGGAACCAGTCTAATTCATTTCTTGCTAAAGTGCATATCATGACGGTTTGTTTACCCTTCTGTAGCGGGAAGCGTAGAATCCGCTTGACTTGCGCTCCAAACTTGTTGAACTAGCAAATTGTAGGCCTATTACTTGATCACAACATTAAAAGGGATTTGGATAGAACGCATCTAGTATAATCGCGAGAAAGGTTACGTTTGCGACATTTACTACGGTTGTCTTCTAAAAATTTACCTAGAATATCTTATACATTGCTTTTAAACAAATTTCTCAAGATATTTCCCAAATGAGATACCACCCTCCCATCTGCCTCCACATACCCGGCCCTGCCCACGGTGTTGCCAAGTATGAATAATAATTTGTTTACTAGGCTATTATTTCCTTTGTGGTAAAATTTAAATATTGCCCACAAGATCAGAATTATGAAAAAAAAAAATACTAACATTATTGACGTACCTCATACATTCCCTAAATTTTCCATGGGCCAAAAAAATGCATAATGGCCTTTTCTAATTTTTGATAACTATATCATGCAAGCTATGTTTTTGAAAAGTATTTAAATAAATAAATAACTTTATAAATGGCAATTAAAAGCGAACACAGAACTTCCTGAAGTAAAAATACATATTTTAGGACACGTTTGCACATAGTGCGTTTCATACCAAGAAACATTCGAATCTGAATAATTATTCATACAACTCATGAAACTTTATCAGTGTTATTCCGAGAATGTAATTTATATTTTCCAAAATATATGTTATTTGTTACTCCGTTTGAAAATACCAGCCGGCATAAAGTATATTGAATTTATGTAGCGTTCGAAACAGTGTTTACGTTTATCGTCAGAGCGAAAGGTTGTTTCGTAGGTCAATGCTCTGTTATTTTTGTTAATATGGCGACCGTAGACCGACTGTATGTGCTCTACAATATTATATCTGACGCCAAAGACGATGCAGCTAAAGTAAGTAAAGAGTGTAAGGCTGGATTTAAGTTATTTTATTCATCTAAGATGCACGCGTCTTTTCAGAGGGATCAATGAGGAAACGAAATGCCGTTTCTCAGGTCGGGGCCAATCGTTAAAGCCAGTCGTTCTGATCTAATGATAGTAGTATTGGGTGAGAATAGGTGTAGCAGAGCGATTGGATAATCATAAAATTTGGTTTTCTGATTCAGTGATACTCCTAACCGGAGGTCAAGTCTACGGTAATGAGATGTGTGTGCGTGTCGTGACGCCCATTCATTAGCCACGCTCCGTTTCAGTGTAGAATATCTTTGGAAACCAGCGGATAATTTGACCACTTGAGAAATTAATTATCATTGGTTAAGATGGTGTCTGTGTTGCACTTGCGAGGACGTTATAGATTTCATGAGAAAGCTATTGTAATGATATTCATGTTAGTTCTCATGACTTATTTTTAGCTTGTAATGTAAATGTATTAGAAGTCCTATGGTGTTTTGAACAGGGTGTAGGAGGTATGAATACTGCTTTGCTTTTTTTTGCAATAAATAAAACCGTGGATTAAAATGTGCAGAGGGTTTGCTGTATGCAAGAAAGAGTAATTAAATAGGTGATCATATTATGTACAAGTAGTAATCATGTGATGGCAGTAGTGGAATTGTCATCACATAATTTTGAATACTTCTTATGAGTACTGTTAGAAAAAGAGGGTATTGTATCCAATATGTAATTTGATAAACCATTTCCACATTTCTATATCATATAGTTCTACTTATGGTCATCATTTCCTTTCCCATTATTTTGACATGTATTGAAAAGTTTATTTATTTTCCAAGTCATGGAATCCATTGATTGGGCTCAATCATAGAATAGAAGTTTGCAAATGATATCCTGAATAAGAACATGTTAATCTTTATGCTATGGATGTACTTAGTTTCAATAAATTATGGATGATACTCTTGTTGAGGACCAAAAGTTGTAATCATTGATACAAGAAATAATCTGCAGACATGATGAGTAATGCTGCAGTGAAAGGAAAAACATTGGGAAAGCACTTCTCATAACCTTGGTCTAGTCATAATAAGTTTTGTGGTATGGTGCTGGCAACTTAGTCATAGGCAAGTGTTTCTACATTGTAAAGAATTACTGGTATTTGCAGGGACACACCCTCCAGAGACAATTCCCTAAACCATGGTATCATGTAAACCCAAAATTCCAAATCAAACCTTTCTTACTTTCTATTTATTTCCTAGGCAGAGGGGCAAGCCTCCTTTGTACCCCCTCCCCCCCACCTTTATTAATACTTCATCTTAATTTATAGAAAATGAGACATTTAGAATTCTGTCTGTGTGAGGGTGTTGTGAATTTAGTTTCAGAGCGGTGATCTGCAGCAGGTATTTTTATCATCTTAAATATGAGGTTGCAGCAGCTGTACCTGTTGTTTATGACTTCATTCAACCTCAAATATTTTGTGAACTATGGTTAGTGTACAGTAGGGATGTCAAATCATGGCCCATAGGCCCTCGGGATGGTCACAAGTGGCCTGTGGAATAACAAGAATAATTATTAGGCTGGGAAATTAGGATCATTATGATGGAAAGAATGTCCAATACATTTTGATACTGTTAGTGTCATCAGCTGAAATCTAATGAAAACTAAATAAATGAATAAATAAAACTACATATTGATAAGTACTGTAAGTTTTAATCCTTTGTCAGCCTTCAAGATAGTAACTAAAATGAAAAGTAGCCCACATGTAGTTTTGAATTTGAAACCCCTGGTGTATATACAGCAATTGTTCATCACCTTTACTTAATTTTTAATGTCTGGCAAAATGTTAGAAAGACCTAGCAATGGATATTTACAAACTCAGTGGAGAAAAGTAAAATTTGACACACTGCTATTTAGTCAATCACAAATCACTAGGTATAAGAAAATAATGTAATATAAATAGATAAATAAATGAGATAAAAACATATACTTGTCTTTACTAAATTCTACTTACCAGAGTAGTACATCACCAGTTACACAAGTATATGATTATTTAATGATCATATGATAGCATATACCAGAAAAATTATATAAACAGAATTGTGCATCTAACAAATAAGTATCGTAACACATGAGCAATGGTGGTGGTGGACAAGTTACCCCATTGGATCCAGATTCCTTACAGACCAAAATCATCTTCTTCTTCTTCTTCTTCTTCTTCTTCTTCTTCTTCTTCTTCTTCTTCTTCTTCTTCTTCTTCTTCTTCTCTTCTTCTTCTTCTTCTCTTCTTCTTCTTCTTTTTCTTCTTCTTTCTTCTTCTTCTTCTTTTTCTTCTTCTTTTTCTTCTTCTTCTTCTTCTTCTTCTTCTTCTTCTTCTCTTCTTTCTTCTCTTCTTCTTCTTCTTCTTCTTCTTCTTCTTCTTCTTCTTCTTCTTCTTCTTTCTTTCTTCTTCTTCTTCTTCTTCTTCTTCTTCTTCTTCTTCTTCTTCTTCTTCTTCTTCTTCTTCTTCTTCTTCTTCTTCTTCTTCTTCTTCTCTTCTCTTCTTCTTCTTCTTCTGTTTTAACACACCCTACACCACAATACTGGCAGGCAGGAATAAGTTCCTGTGCTTGGATATAGTGTATCCTCTGGTGTAACAGCCCGTGTAATTCTTTACAGTACGGACACACAACTCTATGTCACAAACTTTATTCAACAATCTTACACACCCATGATCTTTTTCCTTTATTTGTGGCATTACTATTCATGTCTGCAGAATCTTTCTTGTACTGACATCTGCAACTTTTTGTTCTCTACAAGAATACAATCATCAGTTTGCAGCCATACCATAAAGATTAACCCCAGTTCACTCCCAGAGAGGAGTTGACAACATTTCACCCCCATGGATTGGTGCAAATCCTTCAGGAGGTCCCAACAAGTCCCTTCCTGAAAGCCCATTGATTCATTCCCACTAATTGCTTTGTGCACTTATGGATAGAATGTATTTTGATACTTAGCAACAATTTCCCATGAAGTGAAGTATCCATCACATGCTCTACAGACAATTTTTTTTCCATGATGATACATTTCCATCATCCATCCATCTTACTCAATCTCAAATTGTAATGTATAGGGTGCTAAAGTTAGCACATATAATAAATCATATATGTATATAATTTGGTTGGTATGAGATAGCCATATTAGCCAATAGTGACCATTATCATTGAAAGCTAAAGGCATCGTAACAGCACACATTGAGTTCATCATCCCACAATAATTGTTTGTATCTTAGCACAGTTGTTCCTAAGGAACTGCACAAAGCTAAGAGGTTCAGAAATGCCTGAAGTTTCATGTAAAGGATTTAAATAAGTTCAGATGGGTATATGATTCTGACCATGGTATATTTTCAGCATGATGCCGAGTTTGCAGAGATCTTAACTGGTGTGAAGGGAGGATCCGGTGAGAGAAGACTAACATCACAATTCATTGCTCGGTTCTTCCACCTGTTTCCCACTCATCAAGATCAGGCATTAAATGCTCTTTTTGATCTTTGTGAAGATGACGATGTCACAGTTAGTCTTACACTTTATTTTTTGTTTGTAACACAGTGCCTTTGTTAAATAAATTGGAGAATATTTCTTATTTTCTGGTACAGAAAGAATTAGTAAAGAGGTTTTGATTATTGGCTCTTTTATCAACAGATACGTAAGCAGGCCATCAAAGACTTGCCAAGCCTCTGTAAGGGTCGCACAGAATTGGTACCGAAGGTGGCTGATATCTTGGCCCAGTTATTGCAGATGGAAGACCAAGCTGAGTTAGCTGCTGTTCAGAATTCTCTTGTTACTCTTCTTAAAACAGATGCTAAAGGTGAGTTGCTTGTTCCAAGGATCTAACATTTTGATTAAGTGAAAAATTTGAGCTTTATCTCTTCTTTTTTTTTTAATGAAAATTTACTGTGTGTGAAAGTGTAGGTTCATCATAAAATATAATTAGCTATTATTTGCATGAGAGTTTATATGAAAGGAACAGTACAATGCTACTTTGTTTTTGTTTTAGGCATTACATTTCACACAAATCTTTTCTTCTTTGAACAGGAACACTGACAGGACTCTTCTACCAAATTGAACATAGTGAAGATGAGTTAGTACGTGAACGATGCATCCGCTTTTTGCACACAAAGATTCGCTCCTTAGGGTCTGAAGTATTTAACACCGAAGTGGAAAATTTGATTCTTACTGAAGCCAAAAAGGTTTTACAGGTAAATTAAATCTGTTTCATGTGTATATTTAGGAACTAACAAATGAATGTAAATATATATGTATATTTGTTCATATTTTTATGAAACAAATTCACTAACAATATAAAAAATTCCAGGTTGCTTCATCAGAAGACGAATTTACTTTAGTTATGGGAATCCTCCGTGAATTGAAATTGTGTCAAACCATAAAGGGTTACCAGCAGCTAGTTGACCTTGTGGCTGAACAGGTAGACTTTACAAGACCCTTTGACCCAGCAGACTTAGAGAGTGTGCATCGTCTTGCTACTTGTACCAAGCAGGCTTTACCCTATTTCTCTGTAAGTAGTTGATTGCTGCTGCTTTCCAAATGATGTTATTAAGGATATAGTACATCTTGATTTAACTTATTTAAGTGAGGCTCTAAAGAATGAATAAATAAATAAATGAATAAATGAAATGCATTCCAAATGACAAAGATTGATCTAACTTAAGGAGAATTCTCCGGCAAAAATATAATAATTTCTTATTAATTCTTAACAGTCACAAGTACGGTCTACACAGTTTGTAGAATACATGTGGCGGGAAGTTGTACCAGCATTGGATCATCTGGAGTCAGCTGTTGCTGATGGTGGAAACAATGCTGCTCTCATTCTTGATTTACTCAAGATTATGGCTGAACTTGTACCACATGCAGGCAGCATAGAAGATATCGGCTTGAAAGTCCTGGCCATTTATGACAAATTGCTGGTTGGTGTTCTTTTGATATGCTGTTGTTTTGGTTCATGGCTGATTTCAGTCTTTGATATTTCTAATCATATTCTACTGATAACTTCTGAGATAATGTAACCTTTGAAGTTATTTAGGGGATCCTGATCTATGTTACTTATACTGTTGTATAAGAAATTGTATTGATTATTCAGTTAGTTGGGATATATTCCCCTGTGATTGTTTCTTTTAATTAAAAAGAAATTTAAGTTACAAAAAAAAAAAAAGTGATTACTCAGATTAGTATGAATTAGCTAGGTATTGTGATCTGTAAGTGTGATGTTAATTATTATTGTTATTAGAAATTACAGTGATGACTTAAATTTGTATGAAGTTAACAATATTTGGATAAATGGATATTCTTCACATTGTTCCAGTCTTGTAATGAGGGCAATATACTTCTCTTTCAGGAAGTGATGCCCCTCCCCCCAGAGGGTGATGCAGCAACAGAGGCCTTAGAAGGTGGAGTGAGCTTGGAGTTTTCACGTGTTGAGTGTCTTCTTTTCACTTTCCACCAACTTGCAAAACATAATCCAGAGTTCCTCAATGAAAATCCAGATCGCCTAAAAGACTTCAGACTTCGGTAAGAACATAATATAGGCTTGAGTATTTGAGATGAAGTGAATCATGTCAGGGGCTGATTGTAGTATAGATTTGCAGTTTTGCACTACCTTAAGTTTGTATTTATATTGATAACATTCCCTCCCTCCCTCCTCCCCTCTCTTCCTCTCTCTTTCCCTCTCCTCCTCTCTTTCCCTCTCCCTCTTCTCTTTCCCTCTCTCTCTTCTTTCTCTCTTTCCCTCTCTCTCTTTCCTCTCTTTCCCTCTCTCTCTTCCCTTCTTTCCATCTCTCTTTCCTCTCTTTCCCTCTTTCTTTCCTCTTCTCTT